CCCCCGGGCAGGCTGCTCGGCGTCCCTGCCCGAGGAGAGCAACGCGCGGTTCTGCTAAGGGCACGCTCCTGCCGTTCTCCGCAGAGAGATCAAGCAGGAGCCTGCGGACCGGTTTTAGAAAGAAGCTCATAAATCTATCAGCAATAAGGCCAGAAACAACCACTGCGATAATCTTTCTGATCTCTTGCCTGTATTAAATGTGGTTTGCACTAGAGTGGACCTTTTCGGGGAGAAAAACCCGCTATTCTTGACTTAAAAGTTCCAGAGGTGGAAGGATATTCTTCCATACAGCCTGATGAGATTTTTAGGGGCAAATGTCCTTCTTCACAAAACCTGCACCACAACTGAGGTCTGAAATCGCCTCATTTCAGCTTCAGTCTTTATTATAATGCTTTTAATTAATTGGGAGAGCCCTCTTCAGCGAATTTCTAGCACCCACAAGGATATATACAGATGATAGAGTAACCTCTTCACTATCTGTTTGATAAGCTAAAAAGACTGCTCCCCTGGAAGTTTCCCCTGTAGTTGTCAGCCCTGTTGTCATTCTCATGGTTCTTCTCTGGTCCCTTTCCTGTCAAACTGTGGACACCAGCGCTATCTTGCTGAACTGTGGTCTCACCGATACCATTAAAAAGATAGAAAACATCCAATAGCTAATTCTGTTGACCCATCAGCTGGCCTCAAAAAGAGTTCAGGAAATTTACCCTAAAGAAACCAGGCTTTCACATCATTATATTTTTAACATTCCAAAAACCATCCTAAAAAAAAGTAGATAAAGAAGAATGCAAAGCAGAGCAAATGGAAGGATTGCATTTCTAATAAAAATACAAAATCCACTGGTGCATGATATTCTCAATTCTAGTGCAGAAAGTCATCAGCAGGTGGCCAGCTCTTCAGAAATACAGCTTTCCTAACTCAGCTGATTTTTAGAGATTAAATTTCAGAATGTCTCGGGGCATCTGTGTGTAGGAACCTCTGCAGAAACTAGAGTTCACTGTAAGAGGCACATCGTCTCAGAACAGATCTCTTTTGTTATAATCTATCTTAGTCTATGTAAAGTTGAATACCTATATCTATTTTTTTGTTTACAGTAAAACTTATTTTGTTAATTTAGCATCTGGAAAATGCTAGCTTGCCTCTCACTGCTGCTGCTTGCTGCGTTTGATGCTTTTTGGGCATTCTTTTCAGCAGAGTAAATGCAAAAGTGGTATTTGCAACACCAGTAATCCTTGTACTGTTGTCCTCTCAGACATGTATCTGTATCATTAAGATGTGTATCTATATCACTGTAGGTTATTTCTAGTGCAATTCTGCATCATCCTACATATTAAGGCCTACAAAGGAAGTGAAGCTATTCCAGATCTACATTTCTGGGTTTCCATGGTGCCTATTTTGTCTACAAAGCAGCATGAAGGACTTAGATTCGTCTGATTAATATGACATTTCTTTTATTGTTTTTTCTGTCACTCAATGCCAGACTAAACTCCTGACTTCTTTGGTCATTTGAAACAGTTTTGTATGTGTGTATGTACATGCGCTAGTTTTATCAAGCACTGCATTAGCTACCCAAACCCATCTTGTGTCATTTGCAAAACATCTCCTGAATGATCCCAGTGCTTTCTTCTAGATCATTAACAAAGGTAAAACTATTATAACAGAGCCAGGATTTAACAAAATTAACTGTACAGGGTGAGGACACCAATAAAATATGACAATTTCCACTATGATGCGCTTATTTTTAAATACATTAAAAACATGTGGCTTACTGATTTTGACCAGTGCCAAGGAGGATTTTGTACAGATATTTTTCAGGGAATCACCAGTGAATGGGACATTTCTGGAAGGTGCTGTACAAACCAACACCAGGCTGGGAACTGCTCTGAGCTCCCACCGATTTAGAGGTTGATGGGAAACCCCTGCAGGTAGGGTCCTTACACAGGCCCTAGACAGAAATGAACGCGGTGGTTTGGTAACAACAGAGACACCAAGTGATCTGAATTACTTAATACATTCAGTCAATTTGAATAAAACATACTTTATTAAAGGCAGTGCAAAAGTATTCAGGCAGAAGCAAGGCAGGCCAAACCCAGAACGGGAGATGAAGAGGAAGTGGAGTTTTTCTCAAAAACGCCCAGTAATTTGGAAAAGCTCTGGAGTCATAATGGGTTTATAACGTAGTGCAGCTTCTCAGCGTGGCGTTCCTGCAAGAAGAGATCTTGGGGCCACAGCATGAGACAAAGGGTAATAATAGCTGAATGCCTCACAGGAGGCATTCCCCCAGGAGCAGTTGGTGTTTTAAGACGGGGGCAGAAAAAATGGTGAGGCTTCAGAAAAGAGCCGTAAAACGAATCTGAGAGCTGGACAAAAGGCCTTGGTTTGAGAATAGGACAGAAGGTTGTTTGAAGTCATTTAACCAATAAGAAGACTGAGAGGTGTCTTGATCATGTTTATCCAAATGTGACTACAATTTCTGGAAGCATCCTATCTGTTTTAGAACTAACTGATGTGGGTGCTACAGCACAGTGTGCCAGACAGTTTGTGAAGCCTAAGTAAGTAAAGCATTGGTTAAATACATAGCCAGAGTTTCAGGCTGTACCCTGCTAGTTTTACTCAATCTAAGTAGTTCAAAATATGTTCTCATAGGCTGTGGTCGTACCTCTGACCACAGTGCATATAAACCCTGTAAGAGTCAGGAGAAATATAACAGGCACTAAAAAACTCTTTTCTCTAGCTGAGAAACTTCAGCAGCAGGTTAGGTAAATTCAGATTAAGATATCATATAAATACAACACAGCAAGAATGTTAACAGTGGCTTTTATAGTTGACCAAAGTTTGTCTTTGGATCAAGCCTGCATGACTTTTTGTAAGGGGTGCCCTAAATGTTGTTGATTATTTAGTTTGGGTTAAAGCTCTGTAGAAGGTCAGACAAGAAAATGGACCCTACATGCCATATGCTCAAGGCCATTTTTAATGGATCATCTTTGATACGAGGAGAGGCTGAGACAGCTGAAGCTCCAGCTTGGAAAAGGGAAAGCTCAATGGGGGGTCTTTTGGTGTATATAAATACCTGATGAGATGGAATGAAGAAAGGGGAGCCAGACTCTTCTCAGTAGTGCTCATTGACAGGACAAGACGAAATGTGCACAAATGAGAACACAAAGAATTCCATCTAAACACAAGAAAACACCTTTCTTTTTTTTTTTTTCTTACTGTAATAGTGGTCAAACAATGTGGTAGGTTGCCCAGAGAGGTTGAGGAGTCTCCACCTGTGGAGATATTAAAAACCTGACTGGACAGCTTCCTAGATAACCTGTTTCAGCTGCTGCGGCTTGAGTAGGGGAATTGGATTAGATGATCTCAAGAGATCCCTTCCAGCCTAAATACCTCTGTGATTCTGTCATCATAGCACCGCCTCTGTTATACAGAGATTACATTGTCTTTGGCTCTTGACATGTATGAAGTGCTTTTCTGGACCAAATTTGTTAATCATTTTGGTTGAAGAACCAGAATAACATTACCTAGACTAAAACACTGTATCTCCATAGGCTAGCTCCTCCTCAGCTCCTCAGGAAGTTGGGAAACATCTCCTGATGGCGGAAAGGATGTGAATTTCTTGCTGCTGTAATTTGAGACTCTTTTGGGCAATTAGGGTTTCTCACACGTCTGCAGCCTGGAACCAGGACCTCTAGCAGGGATGAAGCACAGGAAGGATAGTGGAGGAAAGAACAGTTTTGAAAAGGACCCTGCCTGCTGCCTTCAATACAACACAGCCAAATGGTGAGTGCATCCTGGCCAGGGCCCTGGTGACATCTTCACTAGTGCTTGTCACTCTGCAAAGGGAAAATGGCACTCTAGAAGGTAACAGAGGTAGCTGCAGAACACGCAGGCACACTCTACTCAGTAGTGACCCAAATTTGGCCCTCACTTCACTTCCTCACTAATGGCTGTGGTACCTCAGAGAAAGACCCGACAACTTTGGTTATCTCCTGAAGTTTGGACTGTGCCCTGTAATCAGTTTCCTCAAAGGCAGGAAGGGCCAAAGCCTGCAAACTGTTCTGGAGTGACTGAAGCTGGGGCTGCCTTCACATGGAGCCCAGATCAGACCCACAGGATTGTCACTGTCCCTTGAGACATTCTACCCATATCTTCAGGCTGATCTATTTTTCCAAGCTGGCTCTTTCATTTTGATGCCCTAGTCTGTACCCAGACAATCTGCCCTCTCATGCCAGTGGAGCCATGCGTGGAAGTAAGGATCCTTGCCACCTATATTGCAATTCACTTGAAATGTGGAGAGGAGGGGCACCAGAGTTTTTGTGATTTTTATTTTTTTTTTTTAATTGCAAAAGCTTATGGACTGAAATGTTTTGACTCCCAAAGCTGGAGCGAGAACCAAGAATATACAGAGAAGCATATCCTCCCTTTCACAAAAGCAAGTTTTCACGCAGAAAATGTGAGAGAATTAATGAATCATATAAAAAATAGAATAGATGAATCATACAATAAATCAATACAAATAAAAGCAGATTAATGAGCAGATATTTTAAAATTATATCATTATTGAATAAAACATTCAGTGGATGCAGTGAGAAGATTCTAACCTTTGCGTTAGATACCACTAACAGGTGGCCAGCCTACACGGGAAGAAATTTTATCTAACTCAAATCTGAGAAGATTGTGAACCATTTGCTGACGAGAACTTGTATATGACCATGAATTTGATATAGGCAAAGCACTGTCTTACCGAAGAGATCTTTTGATGTTTTTTTCAGAAATATAAATCTAATGTGTTCTGCACAAGACAAGCACACATCTCTCCTGTTGTTCCACTCCCTATTTAGCATGGCTTTAGCCTATCTAATATCAAGGAGAGGTCTACGTCTTTCAAAGGTCTGTTACATTTTAAGTTTTTTCTCTATATTCCTAGCTAGGACTCTTTAAAATGCTTTTTCAGCTATTCTTTTTAACACCTAAATGTAGCAACACCAGTTTGGAAATGTCCGTGGCAGAGTGGGTCCGTTTGTGCGTTCTGCGATGCCCTTGCTGGGTGGAATTTCGCAAGCTGTGCCGGTTGGGCAGCAAACAGGAGAACATCAAAGCAATATCTCTAAAATACTTTCCAGACCAGCTTTCCCTGTGAGTTTCTCCTCAGCCTTCCATTCATCCTCTCCCATGCATGTGCTTGTGCAGTGTTGAAGTCCCTATGGACTCTACCAACTTTGGCTGCTGTTGGCTCTCACACCAAGGCAAAGCCTTCGCAGAAAAGTAGGGCCAATTACCTGGTACTTCTGAACTGGATAAGATTTAGCAATGCAGTCTAGGAGAGAAGGGAAGGGAAGGGAAAAGAAGGTGAACTCTCCCACTAGTAGTCCCAGACTCCTGCACAAATCCAGCCTTTTTGTAGTTTTCCTCGATTTCAATAATTCTGTTGTTAAATTACTGGATTCCTAGGAACGACCAGAATTTAGCAGCAGTCGGGACTGGAAGTTGAAGGAACTGTAATAAGCCCTGGTCACAGATAGAGAAATGTAAAACCTAAGGGAAAAGGCTTAATTCTTTCTGCTCCTACTCATATTGCCAGGATGCCATCTTCCTTTTTTACGGTGTGAGGTCCTATTCCCTCCCCAAAAAGGCATCATGTGAGTCAGCATGTTTCATGGGAAGAGATCCTGAGTTTGTAGATGCAGAGTTGAGCCACTGGTTTTACACCACAGCTCTGTCTCACTGCACACTGTTTAAGACATACCCAAGAACGCTGCAACCCTCAGGCTCTTGGGGTGCATCCTGGGCTGGATTAGGCAATGTGTTACCAGCAGGTCGAGAGAGGTGATCCTTCCTCGCTACTTAGCACTAGTAAGGCCACACCTGGAGTAGTGAGTCCAGTTCTGGGTTCCTGAGCAGAAAAGAAATGTGGATATACTGGAATGGATCTGGAAAAGTCCATGAAGATGATTAAGATACTGGAGCATCTCTCATATGAGAAGAGAGTAAGGGAGCTGGGACTTGTTCAACCTCGAGACGAGAAGGCTCGAGGGGGTAATCTTATCAATGTGTATAAATACCTGATGGGAAGGTGAAAAAAAGACACAGCCAGAGTCTTCTCAGTGATACTGAGTGACAAGACAAGAGGCAGTGGACATGGATCAAAACACAGAATTTCTATTTAAACATACGAAAAAATTTTTTTTCTGTGAAGGTGATCCAGCAGTGGAACAAGTTGCCCAGAGCAGTTGCGGAGTCTCCATCCTTGGAGATATTCAAAACCAGACTGGACACAGTCCTGAGCAACTTGCTCTAGTTAACCTTGCTCTGTGCAGAAGGTTGCACTAGGTGATCTTCAGAGGTGCTTTCTAATCTTGACCATCCTGTGACTCTGTCGTTTTGGTTCTATGACCTTGCTCTGAAGCCAGGAGGTGCTCCTAGACCTGGAGTGCCTGTGTTAAGAGCAGGGCGAGACAGTCAGGGGGAGAGTGCTGCCACAGGTGCCTTAAAATGCTGCCTTGTAGCTGGCTGGGAGGACTGAAAAAAGCATTATCTGAAATGGGTCTGAAGCAGCTGGCTGTAGCTCAAAATGCCATTGATGTCCAAGCTTCCTTCCTGCCTAAGTTTCTTGGCTGCACAGATGAGTGACTTTGGGTCAGAAATGTCAGCAGGCATGTGAGGTAATAAGCGCCCTTTGGCTTGCTCGGAGCACACTGCCTCTGCCTAGTGACCCCTTTTTTGTCATGGGCCAGCTGTGCCTCTGCCGAAGGGGCACGTCTGCCTCTGCTGCTACCTGAAGGATTTTCTTCAGTAAGTAGTAGGGGTGGGTTTCTGCATAGAGAGACATGGTCTTGTGCAGTAGGCTAAAGGAGAGAAAGAGGAGTGGGTCACACTTGATAATTTGGGACTCTGTTAATGTTTGGTTGTTGCCTAAAACCTTGGAGAGTAGAATAAGAAGAGGTCTGGAAGGCCAAGCTTTAATACAGACACAGAGAGGTGGTCCAGGTCTCTGAAATGGGCGGCTCCAAGGATTATAATTAGAGAGAGAACAAGCATCTGTCTGGAGGCCAGAAAGGATTAGAGGGCTGAGGAGGGTTCCCTTCAATGCAGGGACCTTTTATATGAGGAGGGGCTTTTTATATGAGGAGGCCCAGAGGTGTACTCTATAAAAGCACAAGCTCAACTCTAGCACAGCTGCGGGAGTGCTCCCTCAGTAAGTTTGGCGATAACACCAAGTCTGGTGGGAGTGTTGATCTGCTCGAGGGCAGGAAGGCTCTGCAGAGGGATCTGGACAGGCTGGATCAACGGGCCGAGGTCAACTGTATGAGGTTTAATAAGGCCAAGTGCCGGGTCCTGCACTTTGGTCACAAAAACCCCATGCAGCACTACAGACTTGGGGAGGAGTAGCTGGAGAGCTGCCTGGTAGAAAAGGACCTGGGGGTGCTGGTTGACAGCTGGCGGAACATGAGCCGGCAGTGTGCCCAGGTGGCCAAGAAAGTCAACAGCACCCTGGCCTGTATCAGCAATAGTGGGGCCAGCCGGAG